AATAATTCTCAAGATCATAAATATGGAAAACCCTGTGTTATGCAAGCAGAAACTTTATATTATTATTATTATATATTATTATTATTATTATTTATTAATTCTCAAGATCATACATATGGAAAACCCTGTGTTATGGGGGCAGAAACTTTATTATATTATTATTATTAATAATAATAATAATAATTCTCAAGATCATACATATGGAAAACCCTGTGTTATGGGGGCAGAAACTTTATATTATTATTATTATTATTATTATTTATTAATTCTCAAAATCATACATATGGAAAACCCTGTGTTATGGGGGCAGAAACTTTATATTATTATTATTATTATTTATTAATTCTCAAAATCATACATATGGAAAACCCTGTGTTATGGGGGCAGAAACTTTATATTATTATTATTATTATTTATTAATTCTCAAAATCATACATATGGAAAACCCTGTGTTATGGGGGCAGAAACTTTATATTATTATTATTATTATTTATTAATTCTCAAAATCATACATATGGAAAACCCTGTGTTATGGGGGCAGAAACTTTATATTATTATTATTATTATTTATTAATTCTCAAAATCATACATATGGAAAACCCTGTGTTATGGGGGCAGAAACTTTATATTAATATTAATATATTTATTATTATTATTATCATTATTTATTCTCAAGATCATACATATGGATAATCTGTGTTATGCGGACTCTTGTCTGCTGGAGCTAGGTGTGAATGTTTCAACTGACTACCTTGATTAGCATTTGATTGCCTGGCAGTGCCTGGAGCAATCTTTTGTTGAGAGGTGATTAGATGTCCTTGTTTCTTTCTGCAGGAGTCTACCATATACCTTGCAGCTGTGGACAAGTCTACATAGGGACCCCCAAATGCAGCAGCAGCATTGCCCAGACACGAATCAAGGAATATGAAAGGCACTGCAGACTAGTTCATCCAGAGAAATCAGCACCTGAGGAACCAACCTGCATACAGCATATTATCTGAGAACACAGAAATGCTGGACCACTCTCACAACCACCATGTCAGACTACACAGAGAAGCCATTGAAATCCACAAGAAGCATGTGGACAATTTCAACAGAAAGGAGGAAACCATGAAAATGAACAAAATCTGGCTGCCAGTATTTAAAAAACTCTAAAATTACAACCGCACAACAACAGAGAGGAAACAATCAGGAACATCTAATCACCTCTCAACAAAAAATTGCTCCAGGCACTGTCAAACCATCAAATGCTAATTAAGGTGGTCAGTTGAAACATTCCCACCTAGCTCCAACAGACAAGAGACCTTTGTCCCACCCTGGTCATTCCACAGGTATATAAACCCATTTTCCTAGTTCCAACAGACCTCACTACCTCTGAGGATGCTTGCCATAGATGCAGGCGAAACGTCAGGAGAGAATGCCTCTAGACCATGGCCATATAGCCCGAAAAAACCTGCAATAACCCAGTGATTCCGGCCATGAAAGCCTTCGACAATACATTATTTGGATTGTTTCCTTAATGGCTGTCCAAGAGGCATGGGCTCAGGGACAGAGAGAGAGGGGTCCTGGGTGCACATTAGCCGTGTTTCTTCCCAAGGAGTGACCAGCAGCCCAGCTTCCACTCCCCACATTCCAGGCCATCGCCCTCCACTCCTTTGGCGCATGGTTTGCCCTAAGGTCAGGTCTTGGTCCTTGGCCAAGGAATGTGGAGGAGGAGGAAGAAGAAGAAGAAGGGGAATGCTTGGCATAGTGGAGCCAGGAATGCCATTGTGCTGGAAAGAGGAGGAGGAGGAGGATGTCATACTGCTGCTGTTGTGGACGTTGCACTCGCCATTCCTACGCATGGGTCTGTGGCTGGGCCTTTGCAAGAGCAAACAAAGCCTCCCATGAGTTGCTGTGAGTTTTCCAGGATGCATGGCCAATATGTTCCAACAGCATTCTCTCCTGACGTTTCGCCTGCATTTATGACTCATGGCATCTTCATAAGGTTGAACACGGCAGGGCCAGAAAGACTCTAAAAGAGGATCTGGAACGCCTGGCGAGACAGCAAGCACCAAAAGGAGATTTTCCCCTACTTTTCCCAATAACAGTCTCACCAAGTTGAAGCAAGGCCATCGAGGTTTTATTTCTATTCCAGCTGGAACGGATGACGACCGCAGTAATCTGCCCAATAAGCCAACATGCTGGCTGGACAGAGAAATATAATATTTATAGAGCTGTCAAATTCAAATTTCCCGCGCTCGCCTCCTGGGCTGGCTTTGCGCTAATTGGCTGTGTTATTTATGGTCTGGGAGGAGCCGCTAGCAGAGGATGCGTTTCCTCCAATCAGAGTGCAAGTCCTGCTTTGGCCACTCAGCCAATTAGTAAACGGGAGGCAGGTCGAGGAGGAAACAATGAATGAATGAATGGATTATGAATGGCCCTTTCTGCACCTGTATGATAGGAGGGATCAAGGTAAATAACTCAAGTCACTCTGGATTGTGCTCTGACCTACAAGAAGCACTGCCTGAATATCAAGCAAAAAGTGGGTGCTAAAAACAATATCATACGAAAGCTGACTGGCACAACCTGGGGATCACAACCAGATACAGTGAAGACATCTGCCCTTGCGCTGTGCTACTCTGCTGTTGAGTACGCATGCCCAGTGTGGAACACATCTCACCACGCTAACACAGTGGATGTGGCTCTTCATGAGACATGCTGCATTATCACGGGGTGTCTGCGCCCGACACCACTGGAGAAATTACACTATTTAGCCGGTATTGCACCACCTGACATCCGCCGGGAAGGAGCAGCCAATAGTGAAAGGACCAAGGCAGAGACATCTCCAGCTCATCCCCTGTTTGGCTATCAGCCAGCACGTCAACGACTTAAATCAAGACATAGTTTCCTAAGATCTACAGAGACACTCGCTGGAACACCTCAGCAAGCGAGAGTCCAAAAGTGGCAGGCTCAAACCCAGAACCTCAACCAATGGCTGATACCAAATGAGAGACTCCCCACTGGGCACACAGAGGACTGGGCGACTTGGAAGGCGCTGAACAGACTGCGCTCTGGCACCACGAGATGCCCAGCCACATGATACACAATGGAGCACCTTCTTGCGGCAACACCAGAGGCACTCCAAGGGGCCAGAGACTGGTCAAAGGACATTTCATCAACTACCAAACTCACAAATTTTGTATTTTGTCTGTTTTTTTTTTGTTCTGTTAGAAATGTAATACAATTGACTGGTTGCCCTGACATGACAGATACATTAAATTATTATATTATATTTACCTGAGAACCTTGTAATGCCTGTGAGGCTGTTTAGTCATCTGTTGGGACGGTTTTGATGGTGTTTTTTCCTGCAGAAAGGCAGAAGAGGGTTGGACTGGATGGCTCTTGGGGGTCCCTTCCAACCTTAGCACCCTATGATTTCAATCCTATTATTATTATTATTATTATTATTATTATAATATATTCTATTATTATAGAATATCAATATGTTCTTATATAATAGAAGAACATACTGATATTCTATAATAATAGAATATATTATAAAATAATAATAATAATAATAATAATAGGGCTCCCCAATTGTAATATTATTTATTATTATTATTATTATTATTATTATTATTATTATTATTATTTGCGACATTTCTATGCCGCCCTTCTCACCCGGAAGGGGACTCAGAGCGGCTTACAAGGTATACTTACTTACTCAGGGAGCACACCACCCCCTTGCTGAGCCAGCTCCACTGGCTGCCAATTTGCTACCGGGCACAATTCAAGGTGCTGGCTTTAGCCTATAAAGCCCTACACAGTTCCGGCCCCACTTACCTCTCCGAACGCATCTCCACCTATGAACCGACGAGGACCTTAAGATCGTCCAGGGAGGCCCTGCTCTCGGTCCCGCCGGCGTCACAAGCGTGGTTGGCGGGGACGAGAGACAGGGCCTTCTCGGTGGTGGCCCCTCGGCTATGGAATGCCCTACCAGTGGACATCAGGCAGGCTCCTTCGTTACTGGTGTTTCGGAGGAGGGTGAAGACGTGGCTCTATGAACAGGCATTTGGATAACTATGCAATGACAATTAACTCAGTAAGACGGCATTGGAACAAGGAACGGAAAAGGATTGTGAGAACGGGATCTGATTCTAATTGAGGCGTCGATGACTATGTGTGTTGTTTGTGTATGTGCGTCTTATATATTGTTCAGTGTTGCCCATTTTTATTGTAAACCGCATTGAGTCGCCGTCTCAGGCTGATAAATGCGGTATACAAATGGAGTAAATAAATAAATAAATATATACATACAATATATTATTAGCATAGTACAATATCAATTTTAAGTATTGCTATATTGTACTATATCAATTATACTGTAATATTATTAGTAATACTACATGTAATATAAATATATAATTATAATACCATATTATTATTACTATTACCTTGCATTACATTATAATATTATAAATATTATATGTATATACAATATATTATATTATATATTATATATTATTATATATTATTATATAATGTAATATACTATAATATACTATTATATACTATTATATTATATTATATTATATTATATTATATTATATTATATTATATTATATTGTATTATATTATATTATATTATATTGTAATCATGGTGCTCACTTTTGGAAATCTGCAAAACTGATTTGGATGAATGGCATTCACTCCTAGTACTGCGCAGGCGCAGGAAAAAGCCCGCTTGGCCACGCCCTTGCTCGATTGGCCACGCCCCTGTCCAATTGGACACGCCCCTTTAAAACTGACGTGGATGAATGGTATTCTAGTACTGCGCAGGCGCAGGAAAAAACCAGTTCGGCCACGCCCCCTTGCCCGGTAGCCACGCCCCTGTCCGATTGGACGCGCCCCTTTGTCTCCCGCGCGTGCGTGGTTGCGTCTCTCCTCGTCGCTCTCTGCTCCCTTTCCCCAGAAGTCCCGCCTCCTCGTCGGAAGCCGGGCGCTGATTGGCTGCGGGAATCCCCCTCAGAGCTGTGTTCCCTTCCACCCGGGCCGGAGTGACCTTGGTCCAAGATGGCGGAGGCGAAGCCCAAGACCTCCCCCAAGTCCGTCAAGTTCCTCTTCGGGGGCCTGGCCGGGTGAGAAGAACAAGGGGAAGGAGGGAAGGAAGGGGTCGGGGCCTCTGTCCGGAGGGATCGAATGGGGGGCTTTCCCTGCAGGAAGGCAGAAGGACGCGGGGTGGACTGGATGGCCTTCTGGGGTCCCTCACAACTCTGTGATTCTGTTATTACAGATAGATAATATCATGTAATTATAATATAACACAATATAATGTAAAAATATGCTATAATTATAATATAATAGTTTAATATCTAACATGTGAATATAATATTGTAATATAATACAATAGTGTAAGAATATACATTATTGTATTACATTATAATATTTTAATACTCTAACATATTAATATAATATTATGTAATTTTATGATAATGTAATACAATAATGTATAATATAATTATAATATAATACAATAATGTAAGAATATACATTATTGTATTACATTATAATATTTTAATACTCTAACATTAATATAATATTATATAATTTTATTATAATGTAATACAATAATGTATAATATAATTATAATATAATACAATAATGTAAGAATATGCTATAATTATAATACAATGTTTTAATATCTAAGATATGAATAAAATATAATGTAATTATAATACATTAATGCAAGAATTTACTATAATTATAATACAATGTTTTAATATCTAACATATTAATATCATATAATTTTAATGTAATATAATACAATAATGTAAGAATATACTATAATTATAATAAAATGTTTTAATATCTAACATATTAATATAATATAATTTTAATGTAATTATAATACAATAATGCAAGAATTTACTATAATTATAATACAATGTTTTAATCTCTAACATATTAATATCATATAATTTTATTGTAATATAATACAATAATGTAAGAATATACTATAATTATAATAAAATGTTTTAATATCTAACATATTAATATCATATAATTTTAATGTAATATAATACAATAATGTAAGAATATACTATAATTATAATAAAATGTTTTAATATCTAACACATTAATATAATATAATTTTATTGTAATATAATACAATAATGTAAGAATATACTATAATTATAATAAAATGTTTTAATATCTAACACATTAATATAATATAATTTTATTGTAATATAATACAATAATGTAAGAATATGCTATAACTATAATATAATATTTTAATATTTTAACATATGAATATAATATAATATAATATAATATAATTTTATTATAATATAATGCAATAATTTAAGAATATGCTATAATTATAATATAAAGTTTTGATATCTAACATATTAATATAATATAATATTGTAATATAATACAATAATGTAAGAATATACTATAATTATAATATAATTTTTTAATATTCTAACATATGAATAAAATATAATATAATTTTATTATAATATAATACAATAATGTAAGAATATACTATAATTATAATGTTTTAATATCTAAGATATGAATAAAATATAATATAATTTTATTATAATGTAATACAATAATGTAAGAATATGCTATAATATAATTAAAATATAATGTTTTAATATCTAACATATTAATATAATATAATAATATAATTTTAATAACATATTATGATGTAATAAGCGACTATAATAAAATATAATAATTATAATATGGAATATGTTTTCACATATATAATATTATAATGTAATGCAATTATAATGTAATACAGTAATATTACAATTATGATATAATACAATAATGGAAGAATATACTTTGATATTATTATAATATAATACTTTAATATCTAACATATGAATAAAATATAATATAATTTTATTGTAATATAATACAAGAATGTAAGAATTTACTACAATATAATTATAATATTTTAATATCTAACATATTAATATCATATAATGTAATTATAATATAGTACAATAATTTAAGAATATACTATATAATATAATATTTTAATATCTAACATATTGATATAATATAATTTATTGTAATACAATAACGTAAAAATATACTATAATTACAATATATTTTAATACCTAACATATGAATAAAATATAATATAATTTTATTGTAATATAATACAATAATGTAAGAATATACTATAATATAATAATAATATAATATTTTAAGATTCTAACATATTAATATAATATAATAATATAATTTGATTTTAATAACATGTAATAAAATAATAAAATATATTAATAATATTTGATATTCTAATCTATATTAATATAATATAATATCACAAGAGACCAGATTGCCAATAACCGGATGCTGGATAATGGAGAAAGGCAGGGAGTTTCAGAAAAACATCTACTTCTGCTTCATTGACTATTCTAAAGCCTTTGACTCTGTGGATCATCATAAATGGTGGCAAGTTCTTGGTGGGATGGGCATATCAAGCCCCCTCCCCTCTCTCCTGAGGAATCTGGACAAGGACCACGGAGCAACAGTCAGAACTGACCACGGAACAACAGACTGGTTCAAGATTGGGAAAGGCGTACGGCAAGGCTGCATCCTCTCACCCAACCTTTTTAACTTGTATGCAGAACACATCATGCGAGGATGTGCGGGGCTGGATGAATGCAGGGCTGGGGTGGAAATGGCTGGAAGAAACATTAACAACCTCAGATATGCAGATGACACCACTCTGATGGCCGAAAGCGAGGAGGAGCTGAGGAGCCTTCTCATCAAGGTGAAAGAAGAAAGCTAAACATCAAAAAAACCAAGATTATGGCAACAAGAATGATTGACAACTGGGAAATAGAGGGAGAAAATGTGGAGGCCATGACAGACTTTGTATTTCTAGGTGCAAAGATGACTGCAGATGCAGACTGTGGCCAGGAAATCAGAAGACGCTTCCTTCTTGGGAGGAGAGCAATGTCCAGTCTCGATAAAATAGTCAAGAGTAGAGACATCAGACTGGCAACAAAGATGCATTGCCTAGTCAAAGCCATGGTCTTCCCTGTAGTCACCTACGGATGTGAGAGCTGGACATCCTCAGGGAAGGCTGAGCGAAGGAAGAGAGATGCTTTTGAGCTGTGGTGTTGGAGGAAAGTTCTGAGAGTGCCTTGGACTGCGAGAAGATCCAACCAGTCCATCCTCCAGGAAAGAAAGCCCGGCTGCTCACTGGAGGGAAAGATACTAGAGACAAAGCGGAAGTCCTTTGGCCACATCATGAGGAGACAGCCAAGCCTAGAGAAGGGAATGATGCTGGGGAAAGTGGAAGGCAAAAGGAAGAGGGGCCGACCAAGGGCAAGATGGATGGGTGGCATCCTTGAAGTGACTGGACTGACCTTGAAGGAGCTGGGGGTGGTGACGGCCGGCAGGGAGCTCTGGCGTGGGCTGGTTCATGAGGTCACGAAGAGTCGGAGACGACTGAACGAATGAACAACAACATACTGTAATTATAATATAATATTTTAATATTCTGACCTATATTAATATAATACACTTGGCGGACCATTATGCATGTGTGGACCATAATGACGGATCTTATATTATTAATATAATAACATAATATGATAATATCACAATAATAATACAATATAATAGTTATAATATGGAACATGTATTCACATATATAATGTTATAATGTAATGAAATTATAATATTATACAATAATATTATAATTACAATATAATACAATAATGTAATTATAATATAATATTGTAATATTCTAACATATTACTAACAAGTAATATTTTATTATATTACATATAATATAATATAATAAATATATATTAATATATATTTATATCCAGGGCAGAGGAGCAATGCCAAAAATGTTAATCCCTCTTTGGTTTAGCATTTCTGAAATGGGATTGAGGGGATTAAGGGGCTCCCTTCCTTCCTCCCTCTTTCCCCAAACATGATGAATGGGCAGAAAAGGGAATCCTAGAATCAGAAAAATATATAAAAAATAAAATTATCCTGGTGACTTCCATCCAATCCTTCGCAGTTTCAAAATTATTTGTTCTATAGTATTTTGTATTATTTTAACAGTAGCATGGTGTAACTTTTTTCTTCTTATGTTCCGTTTAATGTGAATTCTATTTAGGATTCTTTCCTTTTCTCGTTTCTTCATGATGATGTCCATCAGTGACCAGTCTGTCTGTTTAATTGGGTTTCCCTGGACAAATTAACCTTTTTAATATATATCTAGACACTAGCCGTCCCCTGCTCCGTGTTGCTGTGGCCCAGTCTGTGTATATGTGTGGTTTGTGTGTGTGTGTATATGAGTGTGTGTATGTTTGTGTATATGACCTTGGAAGACGATCTTAATCGGATATATATATATGTATATATGTGTATAATTCCTGTATAATTCCTGGAGCATCTCGGATGGAGGGCGATTAATAAGTAATTAAAGATGATGATGATGATGATATATGTGTATATGTGTATATATGTCTGTTTGTGTAGATATGTGGTTTTGCCCATGCGTTGTAATCTAATTTTTGTTTTTTGGCTTTTTAAGTCCCTTCCATTGTGTCTTTCAGTGTTTTTATGAGTGATGGTCACTCATTGGCCTGACAGGTGTCTTGTGTTCAAATTTGGTGTCAATTTGTCCAGTGGTAATCCCACAAACGAACATGACATTTTTATTTATATAGATTATTTTTATTATTATTTTGTGTTACTGACTTGGACTTAAATAGACGTTTTTATTTGTATAGATATACATATATAAAATATGTTATACAGATGTTTAATGATTTATGTTACAGTTGTTTTTAATTAGAATCATAGAATCATAGAATCAAAGAGTTGGAAGAGACCTCATGGGCCATCCAGTCCAACCCCCTGCCAAGAAGCAGGAATATTGCATTCAAAGCACCCCTGACAGATGGCCATCCAGCCTCTGTTTCAAAGCCTCCAAAGAAGGAGCCTCCACCACACTCCCGGGGCAGAGAGTTCCACTGCTGAACGGCTCTCACAGTCAGGAAGTTCTTCCTCATGTTCAGATGGAATCTCCTCTCTTGTAGTTTGAAGCCATTCCTCCCTTGCGTCCTAGTCTCCAGGGAAGCAGAAAACAAGCTTGCTCCCTCCTCCTCCCTGTGGCTTCCTCTCACATATTTATACATGGCTATCATATCCCCTCTCAGCCTTCTCTTCTTCAGGCTAAACATGCCCAGCTCCTTAAGCCGCTCCTCATAGGGCTTGTTCTCCAGACCTTTTATCATTTTAGTAATTGCCCTACACTTGTCTCGTGATGTTTTGTATCGATGTTGTTCACCGCTTTGAGTCGCCTGAGGGCTGAGAAAAGCGGGATAGAAATAAAGTAAATAATAAATAAATAAAAACCTCTCCCCTTCTTCAAGGTCTTGTTTCCGAATCCCACGGTGACCCCTGCTTTCCCCCATCTATCTATCTATCTATCTATCTATCTATCTATCTATCTATCTATCTCTCTCTCTTTCTCTCTCTCTCTCCGTTGCAGGATGGGGGCCACGGTGTTTGTGCAGCCGCTGGACCTGGTGAAGAACCGCATGCAGCTGAGCGGGGAGGGCGCCAAGACCAAGGAGTACAAGACCAGCTTCCACGCCGTGGGCAGCATCCTCCGCAACGAGGGCGTCCGGGGCATCTACACCGGGTAATAACAATAATAATAATAATAATAATAATAATACTTTATTTATACCCCGCTACCGTCTCCCCAAGGGACTCGGTGCGGCTTACATGAGGCCGAGCCCACAATACAAACAATACAAGCAATACGAGCAATAACAGGTACAATACAATGCAATTAAAAATAAATCACATACACAAATAGCATAAACATTGAACAAGGTACAGTGCACATTTAAAACTATGGCTGGGCCAAATGTCATTGAAGTTTAAAAAATAATGCTAGGCATGGACAAGTTGCAGGAGATGGGGTGTTGATGGAAAAAATACAAGCAGTCCTAAATCAATGTAAAGTGCTTTTGGGGGACATAGTACTAAGGGTTCATTATTACAAAGGGACCGAAGGGAAGGAGGGAGGGAGGAATGGGCAAGAGGGGCGGGGTGGAATTATCGAGGAAATAAGTAACAAGAAAGAGCTGGACCAGCAACAACACACACACACACACAGCTTTTGGTCAAGGGTCAAAGTGTTGTGTCTTGTCTGTTGTGGCCAAAGCTCATTCCTTGAAGTGGGAGGAAGGGGTCAGCAGGTTGCAGAAGGGAGAACTGTAATTTGTTGTTGTTTATTTGTTCAGTTGCTTCCAACTCGAGCTGTGATAACAATAATATAATACGGTGTTCCCTCGCTACTTCGCGGTTCGCTTTTTTCAGACTCGCTGTTTTGCGGGTTTTTGCCTCCAGGCAACGATGGAGTGTGGAAGGGGTTTCAACCTCCCCCTCGGGAGAGAGGCAGCCAATCATAAAAATGAGAGGGAGAGGAGATACAAAGCAGTATGTAAATTGCAGCCAAATAAATAAATATATATAAATAAACTTTATTTATACGCCGCCACCATCTCCCCAATGGGAACTTGGAGCACCTTACATGGGGCCAAGCCCAGACAACATAATACAGTAAAAATAAAACCAAAAAGCAAGATCATCAAAATTACATGAAAAAATATGAATACAGGGGAAAAAAACATTACAATAAACAGAGCCCCTTCCTTATAGATACCAAAAAAAAAAAAAAAGGTGTTCGGTGGCTTTAAATATCACCTTGCTTCTGTCTCACCCTTGGAATGCGATATATATATATATATATATATATAATCCCTACTTCGCTGATTTTCACTTCTCGCGGATGGTCCTGGAACATAACACCCCCGATTGTGTAAACACTGTAATACATTTTATTTATAGTAGTAGTAGTTTGTTTAGTGCTTAGACCATAGGTCTTTCACGTATAAATACATAAATAAATACACAAATAAATACATAAAGAACAGAGTATTTAGTACAATATGAAATATACCATTAAAACACTACATAAACCTACTGGCTGTTAGGAATTGTGGGAGTTGAGTCCAAAACACCTGAAGGGGTCCAAAGGTGGCCCATGTCCAGTTTAGCCCTTTAATGAGGCAGAGATTTAGTTTGGGGTCCTGGTGCCCATTCTTTTTGCTACCTGCGCCCTTTTATGCCTACTTCCTGCTGTTGATCGCTGACCGTCCTCTCCCCTTGGTCCCCAGGCTGTCTGCCGGCCTCCTGCGCCAAGCCACGTACACCACGACACGGCTGGGCATCTACACCATCCTCTTTGAGAAGCTCACGGGGGCCGACGGCACGCCCCCCAACTTCTTCATGAAGGCGCTGATTGGCATGACGGCGGGCGCCGTCGGGGCCTTTGTGGGCACGCCTGCTGAGGTGGCGCTCATCCGGATGACGGCGGACGGCAGGTGAGTGGGCACCACGAGGACCCTCATCGTGGCAGGAGAGGGCAGCCCTGCATGACCATTGGGGTTCCCCTCCATCTCTGGGTTCTGTGCCAAAGTAATATTATTATTATTATTATTATTATTATTATTATTAACAGCTGTTCAGGGCCAAAGTCTCCTGGTTTGTGTGCCCATTCTGTGTGTCTCTAACACTGCTTCCATCTTCTCCGTGTCCTGCTTCCAGGTTGCCTCCGGACCAGCGGAGGGGCTACTCGAACGTCTTCAACGCCTTGGTGCGGATCACGCGAGAGGAGGGGGTGCCCACCCTCTGGAGGGTATGTTGCCCTGGGGTCTCCCATTGGGATGGGAAACATTTGTGCAGCTCGGAAACACCTGGAGGGGAAATGCACACGCCCCTTCCCAAATATCCTGGGAACGGGGAGTCCTTTACCCAGAAGGGGCTCTTGTTTACCACAGGAAAGTTTCCCAGCAGACTCAAGGAAGATAGCTCTAGATTCAGGGCCATCCAGTTCCACTCTCTTCTGAAGACACAATCAAAGCACCTTTGACAGATGGCCAACTCTTTCTTGGGATTGGGGGGGGGGGTGAATTCTGCCTGCCCATTGGCTGCCCTTCTCCAGATCTATGTTCAAGTCCTTCTGCTCTCACAGAACGGAAATATTCACAGAAAATAAGCACTAAAATATTCAGAATACCCACTAAAAATATTCACAGAATATTCTGAAAAAATATTAAGAGAATGATAAAAAAATGTTTGCAGAAATATTCAGAGAAATATTCTGAAAAAAGTATTCATGAAAGTATTCAGGAATATTCATTAAAATGTTAATTGAAATGTTCACAGAAATATTTGTTAACTATTTGCAAAAATATTCAGAAAATAGCCAGAAAAATAATGATGAAAATTATTCACAGAAATATACACAGAAAATAGCAGCAAGGATCCTGAAAAAGGCAAAACTTCCCTCCAGTAATATTACTAGGAAGGAAAGACTAGCCATCAGAGAGCTCAATTCAGATCCTGATATCCTCATTCTGCCAGCAGACAAGGGGAATGCCACAGTAATCATGCATACAGAACAATACAAGGAGAAGATCAGAAAACTCCTGGACCCTACTATATACAAAAAACTCAAGCAAGACCCAACTGCCAAAATAACCAAGAAAACCAAACACCCTGATTAAGAACTCCTCCATAAACTTTGACATACGACAACAGCTATGTAAATCGGAAGCCCATCCACCCAGGCTTTATGGACTCCCAAAAATCCATAAGGACTCCACCCCACTCAGACCCATCGTGAGTGCCATTGGATCCCCCACATACGACCTAGCAAAATTTCTTGCTGCACAGTTACAAAGCCATATTGGGCTCACTACACACTACATCAAGGACTCAGCCCACTTCATAGAAAAAATCAGCAATCTCAAGCTAAATACCAACGACAAACTGATCAGCTTCGATGTGGTATCTCTATTTACCATGGTCCCGGTAGCAGACACCATGGCACTCATCAACCAGAGGTTCCCAGAAGACATCACGGCTCTGTTTCACCATTGCCTCACCACCAGTTACTTTCAGTGGGACAATGAATTCTACGAACAGAAAGATGGAGTAGCTATGGGGAGCCCTCTCAGCCCGGTCATAGCTAACTTCTACATGGAACACTTTGAAAAACAAGCCCTGGACAGCAACCAAAAAGCCCACGATATGGTTCAGATATGTGGATGACACCTTCACCATTTGGAGCCATGGAGAAGAAGAACTCAACAGGTTCCTGGACCATCTTAACAGCATCCACCCAAAAATACAATTCACAATGGAAAAAGGAAATGAAGGAAGACTGCCTTTTCTAGATGTCCTAGTCATCCGCAAACCAGATCAACAATTGGGTCACACCGTCTACAGAAAACCCACACACACAGATAGATATCTACATAAAAACTCCAACCATCACCCAAGTCAAAAAAGAAGCACCATTAAAGCCTTGGCAGACCGTGCAAAAAGAATCTGCGAACCCCACCTCCTCCAAGATGAACTGAACCACCTCAACTGGGCTCTACAGGCCAATGGATACTCCACCTCAGACATCAGAAGAGCTGCAAGACTGAGAACAAGCCACGAGAGTAAAGATGAAGATCCACCCAGAGGAAAAGTGTTCCTGCCATACATCAAGGGAACCACTGACCGCATAGGGAAGCTGATGAGGAAACACAACATACAAACAATCTACAAACGCACCAAGAAAATCCAACAAATGCTACGTTCAGCAAAGGACAAGAGGGATCCTCTCACCTCTGCAGGAGTCTACCGTATACCATGCAGCTGTGGACAAGTCTACATAGGGACCACCAAACGCAGCGCCCAAACATGAATCAAGGAACATGAAGGCACTGCAGACTACTTCAACCAGAGAAGTCAGCCATAGCAGAGCACCTGATGAACCAGCCTGGACACAGCATATTATTTGAGAACACAGAAATGCTGGACCACACCAACAACCACCATGTCAGACTACACAGAGAAGCCATTGAAATCCACAAGCATGTGGACAATTTCAACAGAAAGGAGGAGACCATGAAAATGAACAAAATCTGGCTACCAATATTTAAAAACTCTAAAATTACAACAGCAAAACAGCAGAGAGGAAACAACCAGGCACAGATTAACACCTCTCAACAGAACATTTTCCCAGCTCAGGCAGGCCTTCAAATACTAATGAAGGTGGTCAGCTGAAACATTCACACCTAGCTTCAGCAGGGAAGAGCTCCTTGCCCCACCCCAGCCATTCCACAGATATATAAACCCTTTGTCCTAATTCCAACAGACCTCACTACCTCTGAGGATGCTTGCCATAGATACAGGTGAAACGTCAGGAGAAAAGCCTCTAGAACATGGCCCTATAGCCCGAAAAAACCTACAAGAACCTAATGATGAAAATTATTCACAGAAATATACACAGAAAATATTAATAAAATATTCATTAAAATATTAAAAATATTTGTAGAAATATTCATAAAATATTAATAAAAGTATTCAGAAATATTCATTAAAATATTTGCAAAAATATTCATAAAATAGCCAGAAAAAGAATCTTGAAAATTATACACAGAAATATACACAGAAAATATTCATTAAAATATTTAAAAATATATTTAGAAATATTCAGAAAAATATTCATGAAAGTATTCAGAAATATTCATTAAAATATTTGCAAAAATATTCATAAAATAGCCAGAAAAATAATCATGAAAATTATTCACAGAAATATACACAGAAAATATTCATAAATATTAAAAAATATTTCCAGAAATATTCAGAAAAATATTCATGAAAGTATTCATTAAAATATTTGCAAAAATGCTCACAGAAATATTCGTCTTGTCTGTAAATGGGGAGAGGGTGTAAATGGGGAGGGGGATCTTTGCTTCCCCCAACAACCTCCCAAAGCACTCCCCCATTGCCTTCCTCTCCCCTTCCATGAATACCTGGCATTGTGAGCAGCAGCAATGCTCCAAAAACCCTGCGTAAACCACTCTCCTCACTCGTTTGCTCTTCTGACCCAAACAGGGTTGTGTGCCCACAATGGCCAGAGCGGTGGTCGTCAACGCGGCCCAGTTGGCCTCTTACTCCCAGTCCAAGCAGTTCCTCCTCGACTCCGGTAAGTTGTGTTGTGGGTGCAATGGGAGGGAGGCTGTCTCCAGAGTAGGCATGGGCCAACTTTGGCCCTACCAGCTGTTAGGAATTGTGGGAGTTGGAGTCCAAAACACCCGGAGGGCCGAAGCTGGCCCATGCCTGCTCTGGAGGAAGACATCTCTCTCCATGACCCTTCCTCTTCCTTCTAGGCTACTTCAAGGACAACATCTTGTGCCACTTCTGCGCCAGCATGATCAGCGGCTTGGTCACCACGGCCGCCTCCATGCCTGTGGACATCGCCAAGACCAGGTCAGGCCTCTTTTTGTTGTTGTTGTTGTAGAAAATATATGGAATTTCCCATACTTTTAAGACAGTGTGTATAATAATAACAATAACAATAACAATAACAATAATAATAATAATAATAATAATAATAATAATAATAATAAAGAGATAGGTATAGCAATGATAACAAATACAAAGCTTCTCTTCCCCACTCCCCAATGACATATAGTTCTGATCTACTGACCAGATGGGCAGGGTCTCCACTGACTGCCAGTGTGGCTTGTCGTGTTTATTGTTGGGACTCAGCCTGTGTGTGAACTTGAGCCTGAGTCTCTGATTGTATTGCCTAATGTTGATGCTAATGTTGATGGGTAGTGAGGCTGAAGTGATCAATGAGGACGAGGCTCAAGATGGAGACACTTTGGGCAGTAAAAATCCTGCAGGCTTTGATTTAGAGGCTTCAAGAGAAAGCCAAGTTCTCATGAGAAAGAAAATTCACTCCCTTTTCATCCTGACCCGAGCTTGCAAGATAACTTGACACCTAGTTGAATAAATGTGTTGTGGCTGAGCTATTTTGTGACGATGAGGACGATGGGATTCAGATTCCTGCTGGGATTCAGCTTCCTGGCTCTTTGTCTATGCCTCAAATCTCTGGGCCTGCTTCTGAGGCTCCCACAAGACAGTGCAGTGTCAACACAGCCGTTCCCACCAGAAAGAAATTTTAACGAAGGAGATAGCGAGCAGGTGCCTTCCCACGCTGATATCGAAAGTGTAGATAGTGACTTGACCCGGCAAGCTCGCCTTGATCTCCGGGTCAGGCAGAGTTCGCGTCTGGCCAGCAGACGAGAAGCCAGCTCGGTGAAAGGTCGTCGCAATGCTTTTATGATGACGAGAGCCTAATTTTTTCATGTTAGAAAACTATTTAGGCCTTTTGCAAACTCTGAGAAAGCGTCAGTTCAACCTAGCTCACTAGCCTGAAAGCTTCATGGAATAACCTTAGCCTGGAAAGCAGTACGCTTGGGATTTCTTGCATTGTGATTCATGGGGCAATTGCTTGTATTGCTTGTACCTGGGACTCTGGTTTGAACTTTGCTAATAGGATTGTGTCTCCTGTTTTTACCTGAAGGTCTTTGGAACTATATTCTGCATTTAACCTAAATCTTTGGAACTTTGCAATGCTTATTCTTTATTTTGACTTGGATTTTTTCCTCAATAAACTATAAAACTACAGCTCTTGTGTGGTGGTGTTTGGAAGCAAGGTGAAGCTTACTGTGAGTTGCAACAAAATGATAACAGCCACAGTTTGGAGAGAAGCCAGAACCACAGGGAGGCTCAATGTTTACGTAGGTCTGAGAGAATCCGACAACTGAAACCAAAGATTAGAGTTAGCCGGAATCAGTTTTTGGGATTTAAGAGTGCCCGTGAGGGAGATTTCCTCAGACCAAGCATCATTTAGAATCAAATACAAACCTTTTGGATTTTCCAGTTTCCAGTGGTCTGGTTTCTAAGGGAATTTATGGCTTCAAGTGAGATTAGCAGAGGGCTAATCTGTTCATGGATTTCTATTGAGAGTTTTCTGGACATTACTGCTTTCTCCTGATTGGGCTTCCTGATGCTGAGCGGAACTCTGGGAAATGTAGTTCAGGGCAGGGCCTTTTGCATTCTCCAACATCAGGATCCTTGCCTTCCCAAGCTACATTTCCCAGAATGCTTTGCTTTCTCCATCTCTTTCTCAGCGAATTCTGCTTTCTCCCTGATACTTCCCTCTAGGAAGCATTTTGGCTTTGCTTTTGCCTTTTGCATTCTCTGCCATAGGGCTCCTCATCTTCCCAAACTACATTTCCCAGAATGCTTTGCTTTCTCAATTTCTTTCCCAGCGAATTCTGCTTTCTCCCTGATGCTTCCCTCTAGGAAGCCTTTTTGGGTTTGCTTTTTCTTCCTTGCACTGAACATGAAACTGATTTTGGGGGGCTTCTGAGATTTACAAAACGTAAACGAAAAAGTTTTGGGTGAGTTTCGATTCTTACGTTTTTGTCAAGTGTCAGATATTGCATCGTAATTACGAATTTAACGAATTTGTTCCGACTTACGAAGACTAACAAAAACATTGCACAACCCTAGTAACTAATCCACTTAGGCAATCCAAGGGCAGGACTTGAGTTTATCGCCCTTTCACGGGGATATCCATTGTCCCGCTTCTGTGTTTGCAGGATCCAGAACATGCGGATGATCGACGGGAAGCCAGAGTACCGGAATGGACTGGTGAGTGCCTTTTTACTCGGTGTTAGCCTTGGGGCAATCCCACCTTTGTCGCCATTTATGTAACAAAATGCAGTTTGTGTTGTTTTAGGGAAGAGGGGAAACTGAATAATCTGCACCTTTGAGACTGTATTCCAGACATGGGCCAAGTTTGGCCCTCCTTGGAGGCGTTTTGCACTTCAACTCCCACAATTCCTGGCCTCAGGCCCCTTCCTTTTCCCAGAATACTCTGCTTTCTCCATTTCTTTCTAGCGAATTTTGCTTTCTTCCTGATGTTTCCCTCTAGGAAGCCTTTTTGGCTTTGCTTTTGCTTCCTTGCACTGAACATGAAACTGATTTTGGTGGCTTCTGAGATTTACAAAATGTAAATGAAAAAGTCTTCCCAGAATATTCTGCTTTCTACGTTTTTTTCCCAGCGAATTCTGTATTTTCCCTGATTCTTCCCTCTAGGAAGCCTTTTTGGCTTTCCTTTTGCATTCTCTGCCATAGGGCTCCTTGCCTTCCCAAACTACATTTCCCAGAATCCATTTCTTTCCCAGCGAATTCTGCATTCTCCCTGGTGCTTCTCTCTAGGAAGCCTTTTTGACTTTGCTTTTGCCTTTTGCATTCTCTGCCATAGGGCTCCTCGTCTTCCCAAACTACATTTTCCAGAATACTTTACTTTCTCCATCTCTTTAAAGCCCAGCGAATTCTGCTTTCTCCCTGATGCTTTCCTCTAGGAAAAGGAAAGGGCCTGAGGCCAGGAATTGTGGGAGTTGAAGTCCAAAACACCTCGAAAGAGGGCCAAACTTGGCCCATGCCTGATCTAGCCAATCTGTAAGCTCTGTTGTCTGCCTGCAATTCATGCGGGACGGAGAGTAAACAAAGACAGAGCCCTGCCCCCTCTCTCCGTTCTGGACTTCAGTCTCCTTAAGGCAATGGCAAAGTCCAGGCAGTGTCCGAAGTCTCCCTGGTGACCCAGCCAAGCGTGGCTTCGGCTCTTGCATGACGGACACTCGCAAGAAGACCGTGTCCCTCTGACACAGTGCGGCCAAACATTAACAAGTATATTGTCGAAGGCTTTCATGGCCGGAATCACTGGGTTGTTGTAGGTTTTTCCGGGCTATATGACCATGTTCTAGAGGCATTCTCTCCTGACGTTTCGCCTGCATCTATGGCAAGCATCCTCAGAGGTAGTGAGGTCTATTGGAACTAGGAAAAAGGGTTTATATATCTGTGGAATGACCAGGGTGGGACAAAGGACCTTTGTCTGCTGGAGCAAGGTGTGAACCTCTGAGGATGCTTGCCAAAAATGCAGGCGAAACGTCAGGAGAGAATGCTTCTAGAACATGGCCATATAGCCTAAAAAACCCGACAACAACCCAGTGATTCAAGCCATGAAAGCCTTCAACAATACAATAAAGGTATTATATTCCAGGCATGGGTCAACGTTGTCCCTCCCTCCAAGTGTTTTGGACTTCAACTCCCACAATTCCTAACAGTTGGTAGGCTGTTAGGAATTGTGGGAATTAAAGTCCAAAACACCTGGAGGGAGGGACCAAGTTGGCCCATGCCTTTGTTCTCTCGGACCTGCACACATAAGTCAATCAAGGGATGATCTGCATACCCACGTTGTGGGAGCTGGAATGCAAAACACTTGGAGAAATGTCCCCTTGGGACTGGACACTTGAGACAATTAAGGGGTCATCTGCATAACCACGTTATGGGAGTTGGAGTCCAAAACACTTGGAGGGAGGGCCTAAGTTGACCCATGCCTTTGTCCTCTTGGAACTGGACACTTAAGTCAACCAAGGAGTCATCTGCATACCCATGTTGTGGGAGTTGGAGTCTGAAACACCTGGAGGGAGGGCCCATGTTGGCCCCTGCCTTTGTCCTCTTGGAACTGGACACAAGTCAATCAAGGGGTCATCTGCATTCCCACATTGTGGGAGTCGGAGTCCAAAACACCTGGAGGGAGGGACAAAGTTGGTCCTCTTGGAATTGGACACATAAGTCAATCAAAGGATCATCTGTATACCCACGTTGTGGGAGTTGGACTCCAAAATACGTGCAGGGAAGGCCAAAGTTGGCCCATGCCTTTGTCCTCTTGATACCTCACACTTAAGTCAATCAAAGGGTCATCTGCATACCCACATTGTGGGAGTCGAATACACTTGGAGGGAGGGCTGAAGTTGGCCCATACCTTTGTCCTCTTGGAACTGGACACTTAAGACACTCAAGGGGTCATCTGCATAGCTACGTCGTGGGAGTTGGACTATAAAACATGTGAAGGGAGGGCCAAAGTTGGTCCTCTTGGAACTGGACACATAAGTCAATCAAGGGATCATCTGCATACTCAAGTTGTGGGAGTTGGAGTCCAAAATAGTTGGAATGAGGGCTGAAGTTGGTCTTTGCCTTTGTACTCTAAGAGTTAGACACTGAAGTCAATCAAGGGGTCATCTGCATACCCATGTTGTGGGAGTTAGACTTCTAAACACCTGGAGGGAGGGCTGGTTGGCTCGTGCCTTTGTCCTCTTGGAACATAAATTAATCAAGAGATCATCTGCATACCTACATTGTGGGAGTCGGAGTCCAAAACACTTGGAGGGAGGTTTGAAGTTGGCCCATACTTTTGTCCTTTTGGAACTAGATACTTAAGACACTCAAGGGGTCATCTGCATAGCTACGTTGTGGGAGTTGGACTCTAAAACATGTGAAGGGAGGGACAACGTTGGAACTGGACACATAAGTCAATCAAGGGATCATCTGCATACCCAGGTTGTGGAAGTTAGAGTCCAAAATAGTTGGAGTGAGGGCTGAAGTTGGTCTATGCCTTTGTCCTCTTAGAATTGGACACTGAAGTCAATCAAGGGATCATCTGCATACCCACATTGTGGAAGCTGGACTCCAAAACACGTGAAGGGAGGGACAAAGTTGGTCCTTTTGGAACTGGACACTTGAGTCAATCAAGGGGTCCTCTGCATACCCACGTTGTGGGAGTTGGAGCCCTAAACACCTGGAGGGAGGGACAAAGTTGGCCCATGCCTTTGTCCTCTTGGAACATAAATCAATCAAGGGATCATCTGCATACCCACGTTGTGGGAGTTGGAGTCCAATACATTTGGAGGGAGGGCTGAAGTTGGCCCATGCCTTTGTCCTCTTGGGACTGGACACTTTAGTCAATCAAGGGGTCATCTGCATACCCACATTGTGGGAGTTGGGAGTCCAAAACACCTGGAGTGAAGGCCAAGTTGGCCCATGCCTTTGTCCTCTTGGAACATAAATCAATCAAGGGATCATCTGCATACCTACGTTGTGGGAGTTGGAGTCCAATACACTTGGAGGGAGGGCTGAAGTTGGCCCATGCCTTTGTCCTCTTGGGACTGGACACTTTAGTCAATCAAGGGGTCATCTGCATACCCACATTGTGGGAGTTGGGAGTCCAAAACACCTGGAGTGAAGGCCAAGTTGGCCCATGCCTTTGTCCTCTTGGAGGTGGACACTTAAGTCAATCAAGGGGTCATCTACATACTCCCATTGTGGGAGTTGGAGTCCAAAACACCTGGTGGGAGGGACAAAGTTGGTCCTCTTGGAACTGGACACATAAGTCAATCAAGGGATCATCTGCATACCCAAATTGTGGGAGGTCGAGTCCAAAATAGTTGGAGTGAGGGCCCAAGTTGGCCCATACCTTTGTCCTCTTGGAACTGGACACTTAAGTCAATCAAGGTGTCATCTCCATAGCCACATTGTGGGAGTTGGAATCCAAAACACTTGGAGGGAGGGCCCAAGTTGGCCCATGCCTTTGTCCTCTTGGAGGTGGACACTTAAATCAATCAAGGGATCATCTGTATACCCAAGTTGTGGGAGTTGGAATCAGAAATGGTTGGAGTTGGCCCATGTTTTGTCCTCTTGGTACCGGATACTTTCAAGGGGTCATCTGCATCAGAGACCAAAACACCTGGAGGGAGGTCTGACGTTGGCCCATGCCTGTTCCCTTCTGCCTGCTGACCAGCGTGTCTCCTCTCTCCCGTGTGCCTTGCAGGACGTGCTGCTGAAGGTGGTGCGCTACGAGGGCTTCTTCAGCCTGTGGAAGGGCTTCACCCCGTACTACGCCCGGCTGGGGCCCCACACCGTCCTGACCTTCATCTTCTTGGAGCAGATGAACAAGTTCTACAAGAAGTTCTTCCTCAGTGCCTGATGTGGATTTGGGGTGGGGAGGGGGACCCCATGTTCGGGGCACACGGCACCCCTGTTTCTCTGAGGGGCAGCGGGAAAAGGAATGGCGTGTGCCTGCGTGTGCGTGTCTCCATCCACTGATGGTGAGTTTGGGTTGTGGAGCGGGAGAGAGAGACGTTATTTATTAGGAGGGGGGCAACTCCGGGCATTGCTGCTACCGCTGCTGCTTCCGTGGGAGGCTGCCTTGCCCCAAGCCAAACTGCCACCCCCTCCCATTGCATCTCACGATGGTGCTTCACGGCCCCTCTTCTCCCCCAACGATGCTTCCTGCTTAGTCAAACCAATCATGGTCTCCACCCCTGCGCCTGCCGCCAGTGAGGGAGGGAGGATGAAGAAGAAGAAGAGGAGAGCAGGCCCAGGACCCTTTTGGGGGGAGGGGGCTCCACCAGCACAAATATGCTTTCAGGTGTTGGGAATTGGGGGGTCTTGTCCTTGTCTCCTTTGGACGCTGGGAACCCCCACCTACGATTGTAAAAGCAATATAAACTGTGAAAAGGAAGCCCCAGAGTGTATTTTTCCCAACGTTTACCATTTCGTCTTACTCCCCGCGCGGGTCATGGAAACGTTGCGGCAGAATTGAATCATCACAACAATAAAATGCTTCTGTTTTGAAAAGTCGGGAATAATTTGAAGACCAAATACGACTCACACAAACACACACCCTCTCCGTAGAAAGGCTCAGTGCAGAGCGTCCCCTGAAGCAGCACACTGTTTTTGTGAGACTGTAGGATCTATGTAGCAATATTAAATAACCACTCACAAGCCGTTTTCGCTTTGAAATGGATCTATTGCTTGTTTCTCTGCAGCAAAGTAAGACACTACTGACTTTTCCCCACCACCACTTCCTTTTATACACCTTTCCTGCCCATCTCCCCCTCTGCTCAGTTTCCTTTTTAGGACTTGTTGCTTCACAAGTTCCAATACAAGGTTTCCAGCACCCTCTGCTGCCTTCAAAATGTCAGAGACAGAGAATTGATTCAGTCAGGATGTCATGGAGGGAATTTGTGATGTCTCCATGTTGTCAGAAATTGACTCCTGACAGTTTTTAATCTGTGGACTTTAATAATAATAATAATAATACTTTATTGATACCCCACCACCATCTCTCCAAGGGGACTCAGGGCGGCTTACATGGGGTCAAGCCCAGCAGTACAGCAAAGCAAATATACAACATAAAATACAAACAGTAAAATATAATCAAAATAAAAAATACTACTACTAATAATAATAATCTATAGAAATAAAAATGTAATGTTCGTTTGTGGGATTAACAGAACTCAAAAACCACTGGACGAATTGGCACCAAATTTGGACACAAGACACCTAACAACCCAATGTATGACTTTCACTAAAAAAAAAATATATGATTTTTGTCATTTGGGAGTTGTAGTTGCTGGGATTTATAGTTCATGTACAATCAAAGAGCATTCTGAACTCCAACAATGGTGGAATTGAACCAAACATGGCACACTGGACTCCCATGACCAACAGAAAATATTGGAAGGATTTGGTGGGCATTGACCTTGAGTTTGGGAGTTGTAGTTCACCTACATCCAAAGACTGTAGACACAAACAATGATGGATCGGGACCAAACTTGGCACAAATATTCCATATGCCCAAATATGAACATAGATGGAGTTTGGGGGAAATAGACCTTGACATTTGGGAGTTGTAGTTACTGGGATTTATAGTGCACCTACAATCACAGAGCATTCTGAACCGCACCAACGATGGAACTGAACCAAACTTGCCACACAGTTCTCCCATGACCAACAGAAAATACTGGAAGGGTTTGTTGGGCAGTGTCCTTTGGTTTGGGAGTTGTAGTTCACCTACATCCAGAAATCACTGTGGACTCAAGCAATGATGTATCTGGACCAAACTCTACACAAATACTCAATATGCCCAAATGTGAACACTGGTGGAGTTTGGGGAAAATATAATCTTGACATTTGGGAGTTGTAGTTGCTGGGATTTATAGTTCACCTACAATCACAGAGCATTCCGAACCCCACCAACGATAGAATTGGGTCAAACCTCCCACACAGAATCCCCATGTGGGCCACAGCAACGCATGGCAGGGGACCGCTAGTAGTAGTAGTAGTAGTAGTAGTAGTAGTAATAATAATAATAATAATAATAATAATAATAATAATAATACTTTATTGATACCCCACCACCATCTCCCCAAGGGGACTTGGGGCAGGTCAAGGCCAACAGTACAGCAAAGCAAATACACAACATAAAGTACAAACAGTGAAATATAATAATAATAATAATAATAATAATATACAAAAACAGTATAAATAAACACACCAACCAGTATAAGGTCACAGTGGTCACATGCCATAGCAAGATGTCCCTCCCACAAAGGCCAATTTTGTGTAGTTTAATCACCCTTTCCCAAGTGTATATGATAGAACGAATTAGGAAACGACGTTGATAACCCAGGAACAAAAATAGTGTTACCCAGAGCAAGAGGTGAGCCTTGGGAGTCTTGAGGGAAGCCCCCCCCCCCCCATATTCTCTCAGAGACAATACCAGAAAGAAAGAGCCACAAGATGCTGACCAGGCGTATGTTTACATTTGGGAACCAAGTCAGGAATTGCATGCAAATCCATCCACACAACTTGTTGCCGAGAGCTGATGGACAATTGGGGTGAGAGTCCCGGATGGGGTGGGCGGTCAGTGGGGGTCCTCCATTCCAGGGAAGGGGTCGTCCGGGGCGGTGTTGAGGAGCCCCATGTAGAAGATGGCGAAGGTCCCGATGGAGAAGAGCAGGATGGCCGCCCAGAAGCAGAGCTTGTCAATCACCTGCCCAATCATCACCCAGTTCTCCATCTCCTGCAAGGGAAAGGAAAGAGACCTCATATTGGGGGGGGGGGGTGTCCCACTGGAGACATTGTCATGGGATAGCAGACATGGTTTGCCCCCCATAGTGACCACCCTGCCCCCAAACAAAGCACCAATGTCCACTTTGTGCCATTTGAGAGGTTTCTTGAGGGGCTTCTAGACCCAGGTGACCACTTAGCTGAGAGATCTAAGGGTTGGTTTTGTGGGGAGCCAGGACCCCAATGTGATGAGTGGGGTTGGGGTCCAGCTAAGGGCCTACTAAGGCTCACCAAGGCTGAAGACACCATCCTAGAATTGAAACCAGTGGCATTATGGAGAAACCAAGGAGGTAAATATTGGATTAACTTGTGGTATGGGAAGTGCTGATGACCTAACCAACCTGAGAACATTTGCCACGTTTACGTGGTCAGAGAATAATTCTGTAAGTAAAGGCAGTCAGAAACAATGGGTCCTTACATTAGAAAGAAAACCAACATCTGTCCGGAACTGATGGAGATCCAGCCAATCGTAGCTGAATCCAAACAACAACCAAAATAGTACATAAAGAGACACTTAGAATCCTAGAGTTGGAAGAGACCTCGTGGGCCATCATCCAGTCCAACCCCATTCTTCCAAGAAGCAGGAATATTGCATTCAAAGCACCCCTGACAGATGGCCATCCAGCCTCTGCTTAAAAGCTTCCAAAGAAGGAGCCTCCACCACACTCCAGGGCAGAGAGTTCCACTGCTGAACGGCTCTCACAGTCAGGAAGTTCTTCCTCGTGTTCAGATGAATCTCCTCTCTTGTAGTTTGAAGCCATTGTTCCGTGTCCTAATCTCCAGGGAAGCACACCCACTGCCACCTAATCTATGAGGGAAGCCAGGCAACGATCAATATCAACCTAGGAGCTATTTTATAAAGGGACTATTAATTACAGAAGGCTTTATTCACTTGATAGCGTAGCGTTTACTTTCCTGGCTTGACTTTACTATTGCAGGCTGTTCAACTTAGGAGAAACTGTATCAGGCAAGGCTTGAGGAAATCAGTAACAAGTTTATTTTAACAGGAGTATAACAATGTATAACTGTTTCTTCAAAAGAGGCACAAATCTTGATGGTTACATTGGAAAGGTTTCATGAGTAAACTCAGGCAAACACTTCATAAGGTTTCACAGCTGGCACAACAGGCTTAAACCCAGCCAAACCTTGATTCTTAATTTAGAATCAACAACCCCCTTCTCTGCAACCACTTGGTCACCAATTGATTCCCTGAATCTCCACCAAGAGATTCAGTCTTTCCCTATAGCACACTGGCTACAGACACATTCCCTGAATCTCCACCCAGAGACTCAGTCCTCTCAGTAGCTCACCGGCTTACTGACTGACTTTTTAAAACAGCTGCCTCCTGAAGAGGCAGTTGGCTCCGTCCCTGTTGCTATGGCAACTCAGCTAACGCCAAGCCACCATCTCCAACAAAACATAATCCTCCATACTTACCATCCCTAAACTACTGTTTAAATTACACATAACCAAAGGAATAAAATTTACACATCGTCACAGGCTCCTCTTGGAAAAGTGTGTCTGATCTGTGAGGAATGCAGAGCCCGTCCACCCGCCTTCCTTCAATATGGGCAGAATAGGGGAGGACAGTGAGTATGACTGTTGAATGTATGTGGAGTGAATGCTGAATCGAGGAGGGCGGTGAGTATGACTGTTGAGTGTATGTGGAGTGAATGCTGAATCGAGGAGGGCGGTGAGTATGACTGTTGAGTGTATGTGGAGTGAATGCTGAATCGAGGAGGGCGGTGAGTATGACTGTTGAGTGTATGTGGAGTGAATGCGGAATAGAAAAGGGCGGTGAGTATGACTGTTGAGTGTATGTGGAGTGAATGCTGAATCGAGGAGGGCGGTGAGTATGACTGTTGAGTGTATGTGGAGTGAATGCGGAATAGAGAAGGGC